GTCATGCAGGTTTCTTAGTATCCACTGTATTGATGGAAACTATCTTATATACCCTATACCTTAGGAGCTACAGCAGTAAGGGGCCCCAAGCGGCTCAAGAGGTCTCTGATCAATGGAAGCCTGTTAACCATGTTCATGCCAAAGCCTCAAAAAAACATAGTGCGACTAAACCCTTAACTTGGGGGACCGAGGATTTAGGAGGTCAATCCTCCTTGCAGCAACTGTCCTAAAGGGATCTTATTTAAGGGGCCGTTTTCACTCCTACTATCTATAGTGGTAAGAATTACGTACTGTACGTGGAGTGAGATAACCCTTTACACTAAACCTGTGTTCTACAAAAAACCGGCCTAAAGTCAGGTGAGGCTGCTACAGCTCAACCCTAAACCCTAATATGGGGACTCCCAAAAATATTCTTACAACAACAATGACGAGGCAAACGCCAATAAATCTTCCAAGGGGGGCTTGAGAGTAGAGCACTTCACAAAAAGTACACCCAGACTTACCGGTGGTGATTGCGGAGTAGGGGAATGGATCCCTATAATCGTCACGATACAAACTCCCAGTAGCATGGTAGTGTCTCTTTGTCTTCCATTTTCATAGACTTGCAAGCCACCAATCAGCTCAAATGATTCCAGGCACTTGCTGTTGCCACAGGCTTCTTTGCTCCGTCTCCTGAAGAGCAGTACCGGTTTCTGGGGGTGGCTGAACCGAGCAAGATTATGCGCTACAGCCGAAACATGGATGCAATCTTACTGTAGATTGGGGTTTCCATATGTACTACAGGGTGGCTGTAAGCCGTTCCAACAATTTTGACTCCTGAAATTAAAGGTACATCCAGACTACGGGCTCCTTTAAAGGATGCCCAGACTCAAAAACGGCCGCCGGGATCGTGTGGGGTTTAGGGTTTAGACTTGGTTTTGCCATCTGGAAGGTTACCCACTTGGCAAATGATCTCCTGCACAGCCGCTTCATGCTTTAAATCCTACAACACCTACCGCAATCTGCACGTGCCTTGTAAGCGCCTATGAGAAGCCTCCGTTAATCTCTTGTCTTAAGCCCTAAACCCTCAACCC